CCGAGGTGATCAGATTCTGCAGATGAAACGGGGATGACATGTATACTGTACCATGTGAGTATGTGAGGCAAAACCAATGCTGTCAATGTCATCAGAGATTCGAGCTCCAAATTCAAGTGGTGTTGCCTGGAAATCCGCTGCGGGCACGGAACAACAGGGAAAACAATGATTGATTTTGTTTGATAGTAGCCCCTCGCACCGGTTAAAAGCACTACCCATTGAAAAACTCAATGTCGGAAACCCCTAATTACGGCTTGCAATATGATTTCAGTTACCGCTTTTGCTTTCCACTACTAAAGGGGTAGGTTCCTTATCTACCTGTTAGAATCACTGTCAATCGTTCCGCTCACCAGCGATACGCTGCATTTACCCATGCTTAGCGTTCCGCAAAGGCAAGGAACCCACAAACGAGGCCTCGCCAAACCGCACGGCACAGCGACATCACCTTTCAACCTCTTTCAGTTTTTTTTGGCCAGCCTATGGAAAACCTACTGTACCAGTGTACCAGAGAAGAATTCAGAATATCGAAGAAACTATATTTCAATACAGGTTCTTGTATATAAAAGGAAAGGAAGACCCGAAGATTTCGAGGATGTTTCCAATTCGAGATTTGAATTTGACGTACTGTACAATTAAATAGAACAATATTTATATATTATATAAGGATATATTTTTAAAAAATGTCATATTGCGATTGTCCTGGGAAATTTTTCCGCTTTAAAGTTCTGCCCAAGTTCCAGTCTTTGGGGGCCGCCGATTTGGGGGGACCCCTATTTAAAACACGTTCTATTTGAGTGTGTTTGTGTGTATTGTAATAGGTATAACAAAAACAAATATATATATATATGATATATGTATCAGAGATAGCGAACAGCGTATGCGTGTGTCTGTGTGTCACACTCTGTCCCGAAGAGTTTTTTGTTAAGTGCAGGGGGGCCAGGCCGGTCACATCCTACCTGGCCCAACGAAGCTGGGATGTGACAGGGGATGCATCAAGGGACGCCTTGATGTGTACCTGCACGTTGAACTTTTGACCCCGCTGTCCAATTGGATCTTTTTGTTTCCATGGACTGCCATGGTGGTTTGCATGCTACCTTCCCGCTTTCCCTCCGCATTACAGCTGCTGATCGCCGCTTTCGTTGAGCGCTTTTGCAGCATTTGTTCAACATTCTGTTGATCGCGGACTCAGCCACCTTACGTTTCCATCATCCATTTCACTGAGGAACCGAGTTATATAACTGCAAACCCATTGTCTAAGTGCGTGCCGCTCTGTCGTCCCACTGGGTGCAGAGTGTGATCCTCTCGCAAGAGAGGCGCTGAAGCCACTCCGGACTACCGTTTTTCTGATTCGAAGTGCCGCCATCGTGGATTCTGGTTTGATGAATTTTGTGTCACCCAATGAGTTTCCTGCCACAACACTGCCGGGTTTACGGAAATTTTTCAACAACCGCCGGGTTTATGGTCATATATATGTGCCACACACACACCCACCTTGCACGCGAATTCACACTTTTATGCAGGGTAACAGAAGGAAATGCTACTCGACAGACTTGTGTGTCGGTGCCTTTCCTTCTGTTTCTCCTGTCCTAGTCCTATCTACCCGGGCGGTTTAAGACTAATGTCCCGCTCGCTAACTAGTGCACCTAATTAAGAACCACTAAGTAGTCAGTAACTAGTTTTTGTTGAAACCTTCTGTTGATCGGACCGAGCATGTCTTGCCGTTCCCAAGTCAAGGGCTAAGTATTCAGTAACTAGAGTGCTAGGTAGTCAGTAACTAGAAGGTTTCGTAACTAGTGGGCCTCGTAACTACACCTATCTTCCTCTCTTGCCCTTTGCGTTTCTCTTTCTGTCTTTTCTATTCCTTTCATTCTAAGGCTTTTTAGGTCC